CATTTCTATACCAATAAAATAATTTGATTACTACAAACTTTGTTAGAGAATTGTCACAAATAAAAGTGGTTAACTGGTTATGATTTTTATTTTTTTTGTGCATCTAAAAGAAATGTAACTAGGAACTCTATATAGCTATTTGAGGTTTAGATTTATGTTTGTCAATAAATTTTGTTCATGGCAAGAATCTTCAAGATTTGAGTGACMGGTAACAAGGAGCAAACCCCATTGTGGGACCATGGAATGTGGAGCAGCCAAGGCAACCAAAATATTAACTTGTAACATTATAATTGTGTAAATAGTAAATTAAATGAACAGTTGGTTCCTTACAGTATCATTTTATCAAGCTTATCCTTGCACCACCATAAGTTATTTTTCAAAATTTGTTGTACAAGGGTTATCTTCTTGATTTAATGAAATAGTTTACTTCACCTTCTTAAAAATAAGTTGATTAGCCTTTTTGCATGCCTTTTTTTAAGTCAAAATGCTATTGCTCTAGTTTACCATATTAGTAAGTCATGATTTTACTGTGAAATGTTTTGCCATACATAATGTAAATAAAGAAATTATTTCCTGCCATTTCCAGGTTGGTCAAGGACATGGGGGGAAGAATACTTGGGAAATGGGTATGCAACTCAAAACTACAAATGTGTGTTTTGTGATACTAGCTTTTCGGTCTTTTATGGTTCAAATTTTAAATAAAACTACATTAAGACCAGTTATGCTTTCTAAATTATTATGAACATGGCTCCATTTCATATTGTCAAGGCACCTTATGTACTATATGTTTATCACATACCATAACAAAGATCAAGGTTCCTGTTTTTTGTGTTCCAGAAAAGTACACAAGTATGGTAACAGCACTACAGGCGAAAGCTGGGACATTGTTGTAGATGAAGAAACCCATTACGAGTAAGGTTTTTCTCATATATTCAATGGTGCTCCATTTAAGATTTGAAATTTCAATGTCATTGAAAATTTGTCCAAGTGGTAATGTGAATTTTTTTACAAATTTTCACAAATTCCCCCCGAAGATGTCAAGGATATTTGGGGTGGTGATGGAATTTGTGAATAAAACTTTGGCAAATGCTACAAGTATAATATGATATTGAAGATTAAAAAGACCATAATAAATAATTGTAGAAGATCATGAAAGCATCTGCTTCACTAAAGCTAAGGTTCTTGTAGGCATTTAAATCTCATACAATACACGAATATTATAAGGTAGGTATAACTCTATATAGCACCCCCCTCCCTCCACCCCTCCCCCCCCCCAAAAAAAAAGTAACAGTTGAAATTTAAGGTGGTAATGTTAAGGAACTTAAAAACAATTCTTTGCATTTTTGTATAATTGTATCCTTTTATACTTTATTTGTTGCTTTTAATCACTAAATAATGAACTATTCTGAACTGAATTGAATACAATTTTTTTTTTCAACCAGATTGATGCCATAAAGTTGCTTTCTAGATAACAGAGTGAAATCATATGCCCCATAAACGGTTCTTAATCAATTTTCACCATTTGTAGATTAATTATTTGATAATAATATTTCTCAAATGGAACAAGGTCCACAATCAACAAATTCAGTACAACTTCCACATGATATACACGAGGAATTTCAAGAAACTACTGTTCTTTTTATCAAATAAAGAAATCAAGCTTCTTTATGATATTGATAAAATATTAAGATTTTATGTACCTCTCTCCCACCAAATCATGGATTCAAAGGGAATTTCACCAAACTACTAGTGAAATTGCAAGTCATGTTTCATACTGAGTTAAGCAAGTTCATATTTATGGTAACTAATATCAATTCAGGATGCATAGTTTTCGAAGCTTATTGGAATTCAAGTTAACATGATGTGGCTTGATTGAAGGACTGAACCTCATTACGGATGGGCGGATGTTGTGGGCAATTCAAGCCAGTTGTTATCAATTCAGCCTCGGGAGAGGCCACCTGGTGTATACCCGAATCTCGACTTTGGGCCACCACCACCACCTCAAGGAGATGACTTGACAGACTCCGACTCATCTTCCCCTTCGCAATGACGAGCCACTTTACATGTTCTGTATTTTCTTCTGAGCAATCACATATTTATTGAACTCCATTTGGTAAACAACTTCATTGTAACATAGTGGAACCATTGAATTTCATTTATTTATTCTTTTTGAATATAAAAAAAAAAACAGATCCATGCTCGGTTGCTAGAACCATATGTAATTTGTTTATTTGTTTAGGAAAAAAACTTCCGAATCATTCTAATTGGTGCGGACTGGAAGAATTTTCCGGTCATATATCGCTATGTAGCATTTATTTTCTAATTAAATTAAATCTTTTTGACCACTAGTCTAATTTCAACAGAAAAAAAAGATAAAAGGAGGCCAACCTCCATGCTATTTTAATTGTCAGAATTTCAAGATGGTGGTAAAATCTTGTTTTGGAAATTTGCGTATGAATAGTGGTCGAAGTGGATAAAGATATCAAGTCTATCAGAGTTCTGTAGGGGTAGCAAATCCACGGGTTGGATGTTTTAGGTCGCAGTAGGTATAATGGAGTTGCTGGGTTGGGTGTAGGGGTGGATTCGATATTTGAGCTCAGCTTGTCAAGGCAATGCGAGGCTCGAGCTCGGTTTCGGTTCGAGCTAGAACCTTGAGTTCGAGTTGGTCTCAAATCAAAAGCTAGTAAACTCGAATTTGACTCGGTTCAAGTTTGATTTGAGAAAAATGTTTTATAAAAGTAATATATATATATAATATTTTTTATTTGATATTTAAAAATTAAGAATTATAATAATTAATTATTATTATATATAAAAATAACAATATTATATATAATCTTTTTTATAAATTATTATTATTATTATTATTATTATTATTATTATGATGATGATGATGATATAGCTATTTGAACTCAGCTAGTGAGTTGAACTTTATTAGCTCGAGTTTAATTCGATTAATAAACGACCCTGCAAATTAGGCTCAAACTCGATTGAAACTGAGCCAAGCCGAATTCAAATAACTCGTGACCAATTTGGGTTAATAAGAATCACCATCTCTTTATTCAAAACTTTGTTTACCAGAACAATGACTTCATTTGAAATTGAAAACCAGTCAACCACCGCCCCCAAACCGAATGCCGAATCTAATTTTTCTAGCACAGATTTAGCCGCATCACCGCTTGAGTACTCTTATGGTGCTTTCATCAAGCACTGGTCTGCAGTGAAGCTCTATTGGTTACTGCATCCAACCCGACAAATTATTTTTTCGTATGTAGAATAAAGGTTGGGGATAAAGTAGGGTGCAGCACGCACTCTGGATATGTTATCCACAAACTATTCTCACATCCATACCCACCCACGGAACACTATGGCCGTGTATTGGGAGCATTTCTCCATGAATGACCATGAATGATGAAATGACAAGGGAGAGTGGTTTGGTTACCAGTCAATTTTAACTGAAAGGACAACTTGGATCTCCTAACATGTGGCCTCAACCTGAAACAGCTGGGTTAATCCTGTTTGGATCCGATTGGGTTGGTCTGGATCTCGTCCGTATTCCACACTTTCTAACGCAACGCAATAATGTACCCCCTCAACTCCTCATTATGGGTGTTCACGGTCCAGTTTGATTCAGTTTTGAGAATATTACAGATCAAGCCCATAAATTATGGTTTGAAAAATTCTCAAATCGAACCAAATTGTTTTAGTATAAAAACCAAATCAGACAAACTGAAGTAATACAATCTGGTCCGATTTCTAATATGGTTTGAGCTATTCTATTGGCTTAACCCAATTAGAAAGCTCAAATAATATGCATACATACTACTTAAATAACAATTATGAATCAAATATCAAATTGAAATGTTAACGAGTATCATTTACACTTTCTCAAACATAAATAACTCACCGTGCATCAAATTACAAGTTAATAATTGAAACAAACAAAAATAATATATGAAATATTAAATAAATATATGTATATATACATATGTTATTATATAAATTATATATATATATATATATTAATAATTCGATTTAATACTATTTATGGTTTGATTTGATTTATAAACTTTAAAACTCAACCAAATCAATAAATTATGGTATAAGGAATTCTTAAACTATTTTAAGGTCTGACTAGACCAAACTTCCAAATTTCGGTGTGGTTTGACAGCCTAGACCGTATTATAATTAACACCCCTACCCCTCAAATTAGACAGGCCCTTAAATCACGTGACAACGGAATTTCCTTGCATTGTTACGTATTTAAGCTTGTTCACGATACGAAGTAACATTTATGGATCTTGTAGTTGATTCCTGATGGATGGATGAATACTTTTAAGCCATAATTTCCCTCAAACAAAGTAAGCATATACATTGTCTTTTAAACCTCGATCCCTGATTAGCCTTTTAAAACCTTGAGCCCATCCAACGTTCCGAGAACTCAATTTTTAAGGAATACATAATTAAACACCCATACATATATATATAGAGAGAGAGAGAGAGAACAAGTTATCTACTTATGATCGATAGAGAGAATGAGTATTGAAATGACAAGATTGGTTGACTTGAGCCTCGGCATTCAGTATATGGGATGAAAGGGCCATACAATCCAATGAAACGGAGTAAATGCATACAAGATGGATAGAAATAAATTCATTCCCTGAAATAGAAACTCTCATTTCTCAACTGAAAAATGCATTCCAACCCNAAAAAAAAAAAAAATCAACTTTCAACTATTGTCCTCATCTATGGAGTACTGTACATCTCTATTCATCCATATACTCGTGCCGTAAGTCAAGAGGTGCTCTAAAGAAGCAAAAATCGCCAATGAGAGGCGGGCAAGGGCCAAAAGAATTTGATGAAAGAATGGGTTATCTACAACCGAAAAACAAAAAGCAATTGTTGAGGGACAGGCAGCTTAGTTTAATCTGAAAGCATCTCCTCCAGCTCAGGTTCCTCAAATTTGAGGAACATATCATAATCCGTATCATTTTTGTAGGTCATTCCTTTTTCACCAAGTCCATTGTGATTTTCCACGTAATCTAAATCAGGCCAGTCCGGTTCCTCATCAAGAAAATGATCAGTTGATTCACCGATTTCTTCCCCTGTGTCATTCCTCTTCCCCTTGAGGAAAACTACTCCTTGGGATCCTGAATCTAAGACCTTAGCTTCTGGATATTCACATATGCAGGTTGATGGGTTCTCATGAAATTCACCTCTGCCTGGCCTTATCTCCTTCGGCTCTCCCATAAAGCCTCGCTGGAAAGTATGAACCTTAGATGCAAATGCTTCCCATGTCATGTCAGTTCGGTTCATAAATAGAGAGTACAGTTTCTTGGCATTTGGACGAATGGTACGTTTATGACCGAAGTATCTCCTGCAATGAAGAAACCAAAGAGTATGGTTAGTAAAAAGTTTTGAAAGAACAGATTTATCTATAAATGACAAGAATGCAAATTACAGTGTACCTTCGACCAGCTAACATTCTAGCCATGTTACCATTGTTATTGGTTACAAATACATCACTCTCATCACAGACAATGAAATCAAGTGCAGCCATACGAGAAGAAAATGCAGAGAATGGTGCCAATTCTTCCTTGCTGGCTATAGTCTCCTTTGAATGGAAATTTGGGAAGAGTGCTTTAAGGGGGGCCAATGTTTCTTCACCTCCATACACTTCACCAGATGCCACGTAGAGGTGAACATCACTGCCAAATCCAAGTGCTCTCAGCATAAGACCAACTTCCTCTGGAGTGAGTGGGCATTTTCCATGCCTCCTTTCCTTGTCTGGGTTACTTGTCTGCACATTCATTCAAAAAACATCTCAGCCATGGGCACACATTGGCAGAGGTTAAATAAAAATTCACAGGCCTGGAGCCCTACATGTAAAGTTTTCCACCTCTTACGGATTGCACCCAGTTCTTTCTTTTCCTTTTCTCCCCCACCATAATAACACCCAGAGAATGCTAGCATATCAGGTTCAAACCTGTCAAACAAATTTACATAACAAACTTCCCTTTCATGTATCTCTATACAATATAATATAAAGAAACTATTTTAATCTATCACCAAGGTATTACAATTTAATAACCTTAAGTTCTTCCATTCAGAGGATACATAATAAGCTAATTGGCCTGACCTTTATAATTGATGGGAAAATTCATGACTCATCTAACAGTTACTGATCAAAATTGAAATGTCCTAACCAAGTCAGTAACCAAGTAACTATGACTAATTTTCAAATTGTTTCCCTTGATGTAATATAATATAACTATGAGAAAGAGGGCAGAACCAGTATTCTTAACTTCAGGAGCACTGCATAAATATTAAAAAACGGTTCAAAGGAGAGGATAAATTATATACACTCTACCTCAGGTGCAAAGCAATGAAATGCCTATTTTTCATCCTCATCCTTTGGACCAACTTCTTGCCCATTTCAAGAATAGGATCAGTAAACTTCAGAGCATGGTAATTGACTCTGCATCGAAGTTTTTGTAAATCTGTCCGCAACTTATTTGCCAACCTATAATCAAACTTGGTGAGCTGAACAGCCTGTATTGCAAGAAGTACTATGAGTATCAGGTAATTTCAACCGAGATATCCAATTCCCAACAAAACAGGACCAACTTTTGAAGACAAATGTCTAAATTTATTTAAATCCAAAATATAAGAGTGAAAACAACAATAGCTAAAACCAAGCCTTTGAGTATTTCCAGTTCCATGGAATGATGATGCCATTTTATCATAACCCATATAGTTGGACTGGAAATACTCAAAGGCTTTCTGGTGGGTTATGATTCTGAAATCGATGATGTCATTTTTTTTATCAGCTGAAATAGATGATGTCATTTAATCAAGCCTTCAGGTGGGTTATGATTCTGAAGGATTGGTTTTTGGATGGCATATGCTTTAATTCCTTTTTTTTTTTTTTGAAGTATAAGAGTGTATACATGTATATAATGTTCATGGTTTATTCTCCTTAAGAACCATGTAAAGACACTGTTACATCTTGGGGTTTATCCCATGTTTGACATTTAATACAAAACCATGTTACCTTTTATAAAAAATGTATATAAAACTTGAAAAGGAGGAACATACCCAAGCAAGGACCATTAATTAATGTTTCTTTTGCAAACTAATCATAAGAACCAGGTCCTCATCATCATCATCTTAGCCTTATCCCAAATATATTTTGGTCAGCTACATGAATCCTGTTTCCCATTCTCTTGTTTAGGGCCATATACATTGTTAAATTATTAGAATTTAAATTATTTCGTACTACTTCACCACATGTCCTTTTAGGTCTACCCCCAGCCCTTCTAGCCCCTTCAACTTGCAACAAATCACCTCTTCCTACAGGTGCTGTAGATTGGCTTCTATGCATGTGACCAAACCATCTTAGTTTGCTTTTTCTCTGCCACCTATTGGAGCTACCCCAAGGTTCCTTCAAATGACTTCATTTCTGACCCTATCCTTTTGGAGCCAGGTCCTTGTATGGCCAGCCAACCATAATGATTGGCCACAGCCCCAGTGCTGTGCCAACACGAGCTCAACATGTCATCTGTTTCACGTCAACAACAGACAGCACAGATTTAACCAACACTACATAGGCCCCAATATCCAGCCCAGAAAACTGAAACATTTACCAACTTAAAGATTAAAAAAATGTTTATACTTCATTTTTCCTTTTCTTTCTTTCTTTCGGTGAAGAAGGAATATGACATAAATTTGTCAGACTTGGCTAAAATCAGTAAAGTCCAAACCAGACCTGAGCTTCGGCAATCCTTGAAACAGCTCTCTTCATTATGTCAAGAAAGATTGGTACAAACACTACCTGGCTGACACTTGAACCCCAATTACTGCCATTGACACTCTTAAAAAGACAAGATGTCAGATATGAAGCTTTCACCAATAAATTGGCGTGTGTTGCATGGGCACAAAATCCATTTTAAATTGTCCATGCAATATAGCATTGCCACCAATTTTGCAGCACATGAGCAACAGTGAGTGGCTATGCAATCTTTTTCTGTCATGCACATATTTTACACCCCTTTAAGACTTTGATTAGGCCATGATTCCTCAACATACATGTATCAACCTCTGATTGATGTGACCACAGCTTCATTGTATAAAACTAGGCATATACCAAACTCGTGGTGTTTCCACAGCCATTAATGCTTAACCATTCCTCAGATTCAGACTCCAAAGAAGAAACATAAATACCACCTCTTTTTCTTTTGAAAAGAAAGTAACTTTATTCAAAGGAAAGGGGGTACATGAGAAGATGAGCACAGACACTACTAACTCAGAGTTATACAGGGAGAAAACATAAGATGATGATTATAACAGTGCTGATGATTGATGGATTTGTTGATTAACTTATTGATTATTACTTAGTTAAGTATTGCATTATAAAGATTGATTTTTCATGTGCAACAAACATAAACAGTTCATTTGCCAGAATATATTTTTGTGGCAAAGGCAAGTAAATTGAAGTTAGTAGTTAGTATGTTATGGACGCCTTCCTCGGGAAGACGTACCATCGCCGCCGGCAGCAACAGGCCCCGGGCCCACCGCCAGCAGCAGCAAGGATTCAGTGATGTTCATCCTACCCAGTTCGGCAACAGCAGCCTTATCTAGATTAGATTAGCTCATTTTGCTTGTTCTTATCTTATTGTTCTTATCTCTTATCTTATCTTGTTAATAGCTTATCAGAT